TACGAGATACTCCATGCTTGGAAAGCGTCAATCCCCAAATTTCTCCATTTCCGAAAATTCAGTTAACATGATTCGAGGACTGCGTATTCCTTGTTGCAGAACTGCATGTTTTATTTGAGACATTTTGTGAAATTTTTATACAATAATACGTATACAGTTTATTGAAATTTTACGGTGTCTTTTGATGAATGGAATTTCTAGTATCTGTTGACGATACTATATTAGAAAAAGATATATTTTCGGAATGGAAAAAAATCACGTCCTCTTAAAGTTTACATAAAAGAGAGTTGTTGAAGGCAGATACGATGCCATTCTGCAAAGTTAATTTCGGTTCTATCTAAAAGCAAAAGTCATTGCCTAATTATCTCGGACACAAAAACTACTGAAAGGATGCTAATTTATCAAAGCTATAATTATAAGACTGTGACGAACAAAAGTAACCCATATATTTCATTTGTATTTGAAAATTCTATCGTGACTCGAATAAAATTTACTCTTTAAAGAGTGTAAGAAAAAAAACTACACAAATGCATGTACATGAAATATTAGGATTTTCTTGCGAATTCAGTTGACTTAATTTAGGTTAGTCTTCTCCTACATGTGTTTTCAAAACTTCGTATTACGCAATGACTAGCGGGGTCAGTGCATATTAAGATACTAAGAGAAAATGAGGGTGAAAGTTATTTTGTTATTCCGTTCTTTTTTCTTTTCTTTTCAAACAATATATATATATATATATATATATATATATATATATATATATATATATATATATATATATATATATATAAATCAAACAAAAAGGTAAAACTACTGTACAATTCTTGAAGTCTTTCAACCTTATAGAAATACATGTAAGTAAATTACTGGAAATTTGGCAAAAATGGGGATCCAAAGATAAAGTCTATTTCATTATCTTTCAGCATATGATTTATGTCGCACAATCTACAGTACATCGCCAAAAGTGATTCATCATTTCCTTTTTTACCATATATTTTAAGAAAAGTTAGTTGTTGTTTTTTTTTTTTAATATTGTGAGTTCAATTTAACTCCAGATTAGCAAAATTTGATAATTAACCACTGAGTATAAGAATTTAAATTATAAAATCACAATTTCTGTTTAACAACTTCAATTAATACATGTCCTCATCATACTGACGCAAATATAAAATAACTCATCATGATCAAATACATGTATTGTAAAAAATTGCAACAAACGTTCATAATTTCCATATCATTTTACAGATTCTCATATTAATTTATTTAATTTAATTCATTCATGCCAGTGACCAGTAATTAGAGCGTTTGCTCTAGAGTCAAGGAGTAAGGAGTCGATCCTTAGGTCGCAGGTCGTGGGTTCGAATCCCACTGCGGGACGTGGAGACCGGTCCTTCATATGTGACTGTTAAACTGGGGTCCCGTGTCGCAGTTAGTGCTGGCCAGAAAAAAGATCCCTCACTGCACAATGGCCCTGAGTGTTGAGTATAGATATAAAATTTGCAGCCCACCAATGGCAATGGTGGCGTCTCATTATGAGTGAAAAATTCCCGAGAGGGACGTTTTAATTGAAACAAACAAACAATCAAACAAAATCATTCATGCCACCGTCTATCAGTACTCACAGTACTTTGATTTTAATAACAATTTGAAATTTTTGCAGAAAGATTGGAAATGACAAGGGTTAAAAACATGAAGAATGCTGAAAAAAAGATTTTAGGGAGTGCCAACTCACTTCGACATACATGTATCCCTGGTATTTGAGATATCAGTATTCTAGATAACAACCTTCATTAAAAGAAATTAAAATCTATAACAGGACATGAATGCCATACCCAGGATAAATTTTGATGAAACAAGGAAAAAAGTATCAGGCTTCTATTGTTCAAAATCAGAGTAAAGGAGAAATGATGATGTCAAGGTCAAAGGAAACTTTATAAAGGTTTGAAATATTATGACACAGTTGAATAACTTAAAATTCACCAATTTTGTGTTATTGTACGTTTGATAGAAATATTATGAATACTTTCTTTAAAAAAAAGAGCTGTAACTAAAATAAATAGTAAGATTAATGATTAACAAAAGGAACAGGTCATAATTTGGACACAGTTGAAATGTTATCACCAATATGTGTCAGTGCAAGTGCATAGATAAAAATAAATTAAAAGATTTTTATAAGACTAAGCTACAAAATAAGGAATAGTGAGGTCAAGGTCAAAGGGAAGATCAAGATAAAAAAAATTGACATAGTTTATCAGATATCTCAGATATATGTGTATAGATAAAAATATCTTGAATAATTTCTTTGAAATTGAGCTAAATGCAGATTGAAATAGTTGGGTCAATATCATAGGGGTCACAATAAAAAATTCAGGACACATTTGAATACTTCTTACCAACATGTGATAGTACACTGTATGTGTATTTGGATTAAAAAAAATTCTTGAACAGTTCCTTTAAAACTGAACAAAATGCAAAATGAAAAAGCTAAGTCAAGGTAAAAAAAAAAAATGGACACATTTGAATAGTTCTCACAATATATCATTGTGTGAATTTAAATAAAGATATCTTGAATACTAAGTATTTCCTTTGAAAATCAGCTGAATGTTAAATTCAAGTGTAGTAAAGTCAATATAATAGGGAAAGTCAGACTTTCAGAGGATTGTTGGAAACATGCATTAAATAATAATTATTTCTGATCTTTAATTGTAATATTATTTTTTTTTAGTTTTGAGGGTAGGGGAATCATATTCAACATTTTCTATTATATTGTCAATTTCTATCAGAGCCTTCCTATTTGTGGATTTTTTTATGCACTGTACAGCAAATACCTGACCATCTTAGATTTATTTGCAACTTTTATGAGCCTATATAGCAGGCAACACATGTTTTTTCTTGGAACACTTTAGATAAACATACGTTTAATACGTAAATATTTTTTGGAAAGAATTTTCAGCATAATGTCATGAACCACAGAAAGCATACAAAATAATGCAACATCCGCTTAATAAGTATATTTGGCTTCGTATTCTTAATTACTAGGATAATTTGAATTGCAATATCAATTACATTCAAGTTTCCACAAATTTATAGTCCATGAATAAGAGACTAGGCAATATTATTCACCAGAGTGGGACCAGTGCATAAACATAGATTTATAAAGTCTTAAATAAATTGGTCCCATACCTTCCACTGCAGTGAAAGAATATATTTCCCGTCCTCATTTTGTATGAAAATTAAATCAAAGTAAATTAAAGTTCATAAATACACCTGTACATATATACAATATAATATGACCTTTAAATTTCTCCTTCATCAGCCATGTTGAGGCTGTGGTATAGATGGCTACTACTTGAAGGGTACAGACTCCATTCAGTTGCAAAATATTTGGTGATTTCCTTTTCTATATGAAATATTTGGGAATTTTAAATGTGCATGATTTTGCAGGGGCGTAGCTTCCATTGTGGCAATGAGGCAACTGCCTCACTAGATTTTTCACCACCACCACACCTTTCCATAATCAACAATACATTGCAGATAATACGTAAAATTAATGACATTTCTTTTAACATTTAATCTAAGCAGTTCTATAATGTTGAATTGAAGTTTTAAAGAAATAAAAGCAAAGTTTAATAAGATGCGCTTTCACCTTTAAATGTTTCAAAAGTTTTAGTAAACATTATATTTATTAACTCGTTTACATTCTTTTACAATATGTAGTATCATGCTGAAGTCTTAAATAAAGAAACCAGTACAGCAAATGAAATTTCATTGCATTTTAAAACTCCAACTGTATTTTTTGTTGGAGTGCCCCCCTCCCATGACACTACCCGGAACCTTCTGGGGCCTTAAGGCGGCCCCAGACCTCTTGCTGCTACATGTATGGTTTTGCCTCACTAGAATTTAAAGTCAAGCTACACCCCTGTTTTGGATATCATGCAACCTGAAAATGTTTGAAAGTTGTAACAAATCTTACTTGACCATGACATTTTTTATTTCTAAGGAAATATGACATGGATTGTTTTTCTTGTAATTCTAGCAGGGATATATCCACTGCAATTCAATCAAGGGTGTAAAGAGATTTTCCTCTGGTAAATTGTATTCTATACATCCTCAGAGGCTGAAGCAGCAAGCTAACTTGTAATACAAGATTTGATTGTAAGCCAGCTGGTGTAATTTAGTATGTACTATGCACAGCTTGAGCCGAAGGTAAAATATTGTGATGTCACAAGGCATAGTTAAAAAGCACTGGGGCCTTCTGCACACATGTATGGAATACAACACAGAGTAAATCCCCTACACCCTTGATTCAGCCTCAAGGTGTATTGAATACAATCAGGGTAAATCCCTGTACACTCTTGACTAAAAGTATATTATATGCTTCTAACATACTGTCTAAATCTTAAATGTAGCATACTTTCTAAATCTAAATTGATTAATTAATTTCCTGATAATTTGATTGAATTGATTAATTTGACAGTTTTGCACTGAAGGCCAGGTCTAAATTGTCCAAAAACTAGGAGGAACCTGTGATTTGAGGGTTTATTTCATGGTTTTGAATTACTATTCATGAGTCTTTTCTCATTTCATAATAAAATCAGGGACCTTTACTAGGAGGGGGTTCGGGGGGGGGGGGGGGCAACTCCCCTTTTATAACCAAAATTATTCGAATAAAGATTAAGAATTTTATTATTTTGTTGTTGCTAAATTTTGCATTTATAATTTGTGTCCCAGGCCCTTAATCTTTAGACACCCTTCTGGATCCGCCACTGCCCTACAGTTACTGAGTTATATAGATTATGTACATGATGTATGTAGGGTCTTTTGTTGTTAAAATGACTTGTCCCACCCTAAAATGGCCAAAATAAGTACCTTTGCCATCATACTTTGCAACTGTCCCACTCTAAAAGTCATAAATATTGCCTGCATATTACAAGATTTTCATTTTTCAGAAATGTGCTGGTTACCGGAAGTTCACAAGAACCAGTTAAGCGAAGGTAACACCCTACAACATGAGCATGAACTGATCACTGAGACTGCATTGCGCATGAAAGACAGTTTTGTAAGTATTTGTAAGCTTTAAAGTATAAAAATCTTCTCTTGTTACTTTTGAAGATGGAAATTTAGAAGATGCTTGAAGTTCATCGTATGTACTGTGAACTTTGGAAAGTTGTCACTTAGTTGAGAAAATTCGAACTAGGTCAGTTGTATGTGTCAATTTTTCGAAACGATAATCTTTATAGTGCCCGTTTTCATTTTTTATACACGTACAATGAACCCAGTTGGGCCTGCATTACAGTCTATCCTTGTTTGGGATTGGGAAACACAGAAAAGTTACAGTGTCTGTTTAAGGGTTTTTGGTCAACTCGTATGATCGTATCTAGCCAGTAGGTCAGATCTTCTCCTACAAGTAAGAGCCTCGGTTAAACGTCCCTACGCTCCTTATATACCTCGGAGCGCCAAGTCAAAAGTATATCGCCGTGAACCTCTAGCATGTTGAGTAGATCAGATCAAACCCAATAGGTCAACTCATATTAATGAAACGACAAAATTCGTAACCAGGAGAATTGTTACAAGCTGACTCCCCTATATAAATTGATGACAACTCATAACTTAACAATATTAACAACTTATTACCCCTTTTGAGGTCAACATGGTGAAATATGGACCCAAGACTTGGTCTACGAGGTGAACTGACCTGACCATAGATAGAATGTTCTATCGTTAAAATGATAAATGTCCTAAGGACCCTGTTTAATGATAGAATGCATTCCGTGTATTGTCTATGTAGCAAAGAAAATACGGGAGATAACTCTAACTTAGTGCATTTACTATGAAAAATCCCGAGAGTTCTGAATGTCAACATGGTGTGTAAATTTGAAACGAGTAAAAAATGTTGGTGAAAAAGTGTTGAATTCTTCCATTATATGGATGAAATTTTTAGATGAAAGGTATTTACAGTCTCAAAAAGGTTTTTTATGATTAATTTGACTGTTATTTTCAATGCAACTTCATTAATTTTCTTCAAAATCATTTCGGAGCGATTCTGCAATTTTCTGCTATATTACTGGTATAGGGGAGGCATTCTAACTGTAGTGAGGGCCTGTCCCAAGACACAGTTAGATTATTCCAAGGCCACTATGAGGTCAGGTCTGGTTAGCAAGTCGGTCATGTAAAGGGTACTTCTTTTCACCATGTGGAACTCGTATGGGGTATCAATTGTTTTATTATACCGATAAGAAAATTATATATTATACACTTGAGTGCATGATATTGCATTACATTACCAATGTTTTTTAAATGGGATCTTGATTCACTAGTGAAGTTGTTTATGCTGACTTCTGCAAGTCATGTAAGTTTTTGCATAATGATTTACTGATTAAAACAATTTTTGATTGACAGTAACATGCATTAAATTGTTATGCCCTGTTCACACGGAGAGTTTAATTCACAGTAAATTAATGCGAAGTAAATAATGTGAATTAAAATAATGTGAATTAAATTGTGTTCACACGACAGCTAATGCGAAGTAAACTAATGGGAATTAAAATTTTATTTCTACAGTAAGGCTATTCAGTAAGGCTATTATGACGTCATTTTCAAATCACGTCACCTTATGCGCAGCAAACCCATATTACATTCTGTCATAGTGTCTGTGCACATTTCAGTGATTAACATAATTTTTCTTTGTTTTCCACTAAAAAATAGCATAAGTATCCATATCTGTCCACAGACATGTGGTATGTGACTTAATTGTGCCATTACGCATGCGTCAAAATTTAATTCGAATTAGCTTCGCTTAGCATTCACACGGAGCTAATGCGAAGTAATTTAATGTGCAGTTAATTAATTTGAATTAAACTAATTCGCATTAAATTCCCTGTGTGAACGCGGTTCAAATTTAATTCGCAGTAACTTATGTTTAATTCGAATTAAACTCTCCGTGTGAACAGGGCATTATAATTGAAGGTAACTTTTACTGAGCAAAATGAAAATCTGGCGCAGAATTTTACGATAAAGAAGAGCCAAGTCTGCATTTCCTGGAATTGAATTGTAACAAAATTTTTTCAAATGAATAAACAAATAAATTTTTTGACTTATAGGCCCTAGATCTGTTGTATTCCGTATCATAAACAGACAATGCAAATTTTATAACACACTTTTTTAACGTATAATCATTATTCTATGCATTAAGTCAGGGATCTATATACTAACGGGATAGGCATCTCCTTCAGTACCATGTTTACTCCCCCAAAACATCACACACAACACTACAAGTTTTTCAAACTATGTTTATTCTCAGTAAAAAATTTGTTTTTCTGATAAATGTAATCTGTTCTTTTTGTTTATTGGAATGGATATTTAATAAATTTTAAAGTATACGTTGTAAAATAATCTAAATGTAAAGCAAATTACCACCAAATTTTGCAATTCTCGGCCGATCAGGGGCATGTGTTGATCTAACACGTTTAAGTGATTCAAATTAAGAGATAATTATGGGATATTCCAAATTATTGACTCAATGAAATTGAGCCTATGATATTTTCTGAAAGAAAAACAGAGGTCAGTATATATCTATATATATATATATATATATATATATATATATATATATATATAATTATAATAGTAACTTGATCCGAAGAGCCGTATCATGTCAAGTTGACATGCACGGATCATCAGATCAAATGAGACGCGAAGTGTCGAGTTTGATCTGATGATCCGCTCCTGTCAACGACATGTAATACGGGTCTCAGGATCAAGTTACTGTTATAATGATAAATTTATTATATAACCCTTTACAACTAGCAAAATATAATAGAAGGAAACTTTTAGGATCAATTACATAACTTTTATCCGTTAAGCAAACCATTTTATCAAGGAACTTTTTGATCCGTGAGAATAAAAACAGCATTTATCTGTGTCAACTCAAAACCATATATGTTTGTATGTTAACATGTTAAGATTTGAATTGCCTTGGGTACGACTTGACTACGGCCATATGACATTGGGTGGCAGGGGATAGTTTCATACTATAGTATGCGCTGTCAAATTTCTTTAAAAACTGAGGTATCCCATGATTGATGTGATATTTTATGTAGAAAAATGAATAGAATAATTATGGGATTCATGTACATGTGCAGTGTAGCAGAGCTTGCTGAGAAAAATGATGTGCATCATGTAGGTGTCACAATGATGCTTAGCATATATATATAGAGTTGTAAATGCGAAACTAAGACATTTGGTCAGTCGCAGAGGAAATTCAGCTGAAAAGCAGTGGTGTGCATCTCAGAGGGAAGGTGAATGGCCCCAGATCAATTGGTGAATTTTCATTAGGGCATGCATTGTTCTACAGAATACTGGGTGTTTTATCCTGCTCACTCGGGAATGGGATGGGCTGTATAGGTGCGACAGCAGCCCAAATCTTGGAAAAACAAGCCAAAATCTTTGGAGACCTCCAAGTGCATTTTCGGTACATGTGCACTTTAATATATAGGTTACATGTTATATGTTGACACATTTTTTGAGTTATAGATATATGAAGTGCAATTAATTAGCACCCAAGAAACTGCCCCAAACTATCTGTTTTTATTGACCTCATGCATATGCCTACCCCCTCGGCACATAGAAAAAAACAAACAAAATCAGGAGTCCTGAAATTGTTTATTCTGGTCGAAATCATTGAATTCTTTCAATTTCTCTAAGTATTTGTCTACAATATGCCATATTTGGAATATTTTAAGCATTTAATACCTTGATTTTGCTGAGGAATAAATATTTCTACGAGAAAAATAGATTAATGGAATCATATCCTTTGAATGACATCATTTTTATGACTATAATGACTTGTGTTTTACTTTTTGGTCTGTGTGTTTTTTGCGAATAGGTAGGGAGGTATTTGAAAGATGGGTGGACGCTAAACATAGAAAAAACTTGGAATGGCCTAAGGTAATATTTTCTATGCGCATCAATTTCATAAATCTGTGGTGCAGCCATGCAAAATGACTTGATATTTTGGAGTTAGGAACCACATCAGAGGAAAAGTTTGTTGCTTTGCCAGTGGATGTCAATATGTTGATATGTTGATTGGTGGCTCTGATTTTATTAGGTCACCTGAGTCACTCAGGTGACCTATTGCTACATGTATCTGTTTTCATTCGTCGTCGTGTGGGTGTGCGTCTTGCGTAAACTTTTTACATTTTAACTTCTTCTCAAGAACCATCGGGCCAATTTCAACCAAACTTGCCACAAAGTATCCTTGGGTAAAGGTAATTCAAGTTTTTTCAAATGAAGGGCCACACCATCTTCCAAGGGGAGATAACTAAGAATTAGTGAAAAATTAATGGCATCTTTTAAAAATCTTCTTCTCAAGAACCACTGGACCAGGTAAGATGAAACTTATGTGGAAACATCCTCAGGTAGCGTAGACTCAAGCTTGTTAAAATCATAACCCCCAGGGGTAGGGTGGGGCCACAATGGAAGATCAAAGTTTTACATTATAGGAATACATAGGAGAAATCTTTAAAAATCTTCTTCTCCAGAACCACTGGGCCAAGAAAGATAAAACTTATGTGGAAACATCCTCATGTAGTGTAGATTCAAGTTTGTTCAAATCATGACCCCTGGGCAGGGGAGTGCAATTACAAAAATTAGTTACTAGCCTGGGCTAGTGGAAGTAACAAAGTTACTAGCTCAAGGTTGACAATCATCACTAGCCCATTAACTACCGAAAACAATACATGTATAAGTATAACAAAAAGGTAAAAAAAAAAAAACATTTAAGTTGAAATAAATAAAACAAATAGTGGTTTGCGCTATGTTATTGTCAGGTACTTCTCCCTATTTTTAATTTTTTATCGAATATAATTGTCACTGAAACGACTGGCGATAGCAACACACAATACATATATGTTGAAAAGAATTAAAGATTATGATTTTACAACAAAGTTAATTCGTATATCAATTCAGTCGATGTAAATATACGTATACTTTTGTTTCAGATTTACTAGCCCAACAGGCTAATGCAGTATAGATTTATGATAGCCCAACCTCTAAAATTGGTAGCCCTGGGCGTTGGGCGATGGTAATTGCACACCCCTGCCTGGGGCAGGGCGGGTCACAATGGGAGATCAAAGTTTTACATGGGAATACATTGGAAAAATCTTCTCCAGAACCACTGGGCCAAGAAAGATGTAATTGATGTGAAAACATCTTCACGTAGTGTAGATTCAAATTTCTTAAAATCATGATCCCCGGGGAGGGTGGGGCCATAATGAACAATGAAATTTTTACATTGGAATACGTAGGAAAAATCGTGAAAAAATTATTTTCTCAAGAACAGCAAAGCCATGATTGGTTATATTTACATGGAAGCATCCTCAGGTAATATAGAGTGGGGCCACAATTTATGATCAAAGATTTACATATGAATACATAGGAAAAATCTTTAACAATCTTTTTCTCAAGAATAGCAAAGCCATGATTTGTCTTATTTATATGGAAGCATCCTTGGGTAATGTAAATTCAAATTTGTTCAAATCATGACCCCCTGGGGTAGGGAGGGGACACAACAGGTGATCAAAGTTTTAGTTAGGAATATATAGAAAAGATCATTTAAAAACTTTCTTCTCAAGAACAACAAAGCCATGATTAGTCATTTTAATACAGAAACATCTTCAGGTGCTGTAGATCACTAAATTTTCGGGACACTTCATTTTCGCGAGATAGTCACTGACTCCCTATTAACGAGACAGAATATCACGAAATGTGTTTGCTCTATATAATCTTTAGGAATACTAATATAAGCGAGAATGAAATTTTCACAAGCACACTGTCTCACGTAATTACGCAAAAATAAAGTTCTTGTGAATAAAAAGTGTTTTACAGTAGTGTATATTCAAGATTATTCAAATTATGACCCTCGGGGGTAGGGTGGGGCCATATTAGAAAATAAAACTTATAGGAAAAAAATCTAAATGGGGGACAGATTAGAACTTAATTTATGAGTTGTTACTGAATATTAGACTAATTATTTCGATGATCATGATCGTCCTATTTTTCTTGCTTTTGGGCAACAAATTAAGGTTCTTCTATCAGTTTATTTTATACTCTATGGATCCTCTATGGATAGTTGTTTTATACTCATGTGACCGTTAAGGCCCTTGGGCCTCTTGTTCTATGATACATCATGGATATCATTTAATTTCGATGACGAATACCAAGAGTGCAGACTGCAATGAACTTACAAACTAGAAAATCAGGCTTTCTTGCATTTTGTGGAGCCAGCCAAATGGCGCAGTGCACATTTTACACTAATACAGTGGCTATACAAGCTATAATTTGGGTCCATTAAAAATGAATTTGTAAATTTTTTTATTTGTTTACCGAATAAAATTATGAAAATGTTGTAAATCACACTTGAAATTGAACATGTGATTTAGATGGCAAATCATAATTATTGATTTTCGTTTGTGTCGGCATCCCGGTTAAAGTTTTATGAGCAAGTCCATTCCCAAGTAACTATAAGCTGTACCTGGACCCAACTTACATGGATGATGCATCTAGGGATGGACAATACTAGACTTGCTTCAGATACTGGATCTGACCTAAATTTTTCTAGATGAGTGACCAGGTTAAAGTTTTTGGAGCAAGTCCATGCATTTCCAAGTAACTAAGCCCTACCTGGACCAAAGTTGCATGGAGGATGCACCTAGGGATGGACACTACCAGACTTGCTTTGGATGCTGGATCTAACCTTTATTTTCCAGATGAGTAATTATTAGCCTTACCAGAACCAAACTAGCATGGAATGATGTATCTAAAGATGGACACAAGAAGACTTGCTTTTGATGCTGAATCTGACCTACATTTTTCAGATATGTGACCAGAGTAATGTCTTTGGAGTAGCTCTATCACTATATGACATGTTATGACTAAACTTGCATGGATGACGAAACTAGGGATGGACACTACCAGACATGCTTTGGATGCTGGAACTGACCTACATTTTCTTTATGAGTAAACAGTTTAAGTTTAAAGTTTTTGGAGCAGGTCTATTCCCATGCAACTATAAGTCCTACTTTAACCAAACTTGCATTGATAATTGATCTCTCACAGTATTGGTACAAGATTTACCTTACTTATAGATACACATGTACCATTCATTGAGCTTTGTAATCTTTGATTACCTATGTTTATATGTTGATAAAAAAAACTCAATAAACAGTTAACTTTTTTGTAAAAAGTATCACTAGTCAACCAAGAAACTTGTTTTCCCTTAGATCGAACACACGTTTTGGTGGTCATTTGATTACAGGCAAAGAATTGATTAAAATTTTAAAAAAAACTTCTAATATTTGGTTGATAAAATATTTCAGGAGGGATCATTTCAATGACAAAACAAAAGGTTAACAATGGTTTTCAAAAGGGTGTCAATTTCATTTGTTATCCTCCAAAACAGGCACCATTTATATAGTATGTTATGAATTAAAGCTTATGTATTCCCTGATCACATCTGTTTTCAGAGAAGACGAACGTCACCTTCGTCAGAAGCAGATTTTTACTGCCAGGCTGGCTTTGACCAAAAAGGTTTTGAGATCAAATTTATATCAGACTATAAAAGTAAGTTTATATTATTAATTTACTCTCAACATCTGTGGTTTTGTTTTGTAAAGTGGATGGATGTAGAAAGAATAATATTGCTTGAATTTCATATTTTTTCATTTATTTACATGATTATAATTTTATATGCTGTTAATTTATAGTTTTGTGCAAAAAAGTTTAAGTCCAGATTGATCTGTATTTAAATTTAAGTTTGTATATTTTTTCCAAAAAATTTTTTTTGTATAATTTTTAACATAAATGATGTTTAAACAAATTGGAAATACTGGGACTGATTCTAGAGCAATCCCCTAGTTACAATATGATGTCACACAAAGACACATTTAGCAGAAGACTTATACCTGGAAAATAAGATCTCAGAATCTGAATTGATAAATTTTTTTGTAATATTTTGTGTCTATAAGTAAGTCTTTTATTGAACCTATTTGACCAAAGTGAGCATCATGGCCCATGGGCCTCTTGTTTGAAGACAGTTTTAATTTTTAAAAGGTGATGTTGAATCTAAATGCTTTGATGTTTTAGACATCCAAACGGCTAGCTCAGATGTGGAAGTGGAATCGGACCCTTTTAGTTGGGAATTCAATGGGAAATTCATTTGACAGTGATGATGATGATGAGATTAATTCAGGTAATATATATAAATATAATTATACAAGTTGCACTACCCAGTCTGCTGTTAAGCTAATTTCATGATAATGTCATAAAGAGGGATTTAATATTTATCATGTTTATTCACATGTTTTTGGACACAAACTATTTTTTTTTTTTATGTAATGCCACCATCAGTATCAATACTTCATAAAGATAGGCTTCACCCAGTCTGACTATTAAGCTAGATTTATAATAAGGTTATGAACAAGGATATATTTTCATCAAGGAGCAGTGGTCTAGCTTCCACTTGTTGAAGTGTCTCCTAAATTGTGCACATCATTGAAGAACTATTTATAAAATTTTCAGATCAATCAGCCAGAACATTGTTATAGCAAACATGCTTAAAATGAATTTATATGCTTACATTGAAGTGATTTCCTTCCCCATAGATTTAAAAGTGTTGTAAATGGAAAGTTTATGCTTATAAAGAATTAAATATTTTGGTCCCTGGCTCTTTGCTATTGTAAGCATGTTTTACTGTATTATTCCCTGTTGTTTGAATAATTAATTTATCTTTATTTTGTGTGATGCCATTTTTACCATATCTACTAGTGTTGTCAACGAGTACCTAGTTAACTGGTTAATCGGCAAACAATGCGAGTATCAGATAGTAAAACTGCTACTCAGTTACTCGGATATATAGACAAAAGTAGAAAAGAAATGTTATTTTGTTAAGAAATGAATCTACACCTCTACCATTTTATTTACCGTTATTTAACGTTAGACTTGATCTAGCGTTTCACAAACATGACCGATTTGTTTTGATAACACTTAGTTTTCACAGTTTATCTAATTGATGGCTTTGATTGCCAAGCGGTATACAATGTAGAAAACCTGGGTTAATTATAATTAACTCACTTATACTGTGCTAGTCCGCAGTACAGGATTAATTTTAAACAAGATGCCTCCAGAACCATCAAAAGCATAGATTCCGAAATGTTTTAAAAGAATTTAAATCCGAAAGGTGTAAAATATGTAAAATGAAATTAACATACACAGAAACGAAACTAAAGTAACATTATATTTAGGACATCCGCAAAAATTGCCAACTATTATAGGATATTCAAGAACAAATTCATTTAGAAGCTTTATTTTGTCTTTTTGTAATTAAAAATAAACAAATGAAATGCATCTACAGTGCATTTGCGTTTGATATTGGCCAGTATGTAAATGTTAAACATGGAAATTGTTATGACGTTACATATATTACAGTTATTATTGAATACATACCATGAGCAAGGATGTTTAAAGGTCTAAAAAAAATCCATCTGTGTAACCGTTTACTTGATCGGAAAAGTAAGCGAGTAACCGGTTACTAAAAATTGTCCGATTTGACCACACTAGTATCAACACATAATTACAAGATTGGATGCTGCTCGGTTCGGATGGCCAGAGTCATTTTTATGACATAATTGAAGACATATTACTGGCATTTTGTTTTTCTCACATTACTTGAATTCTTGGTTGTCTACAACAAAAATATTTAAATTGATATTTGTAACAGAGATTTAATTTGCAAATTTAAAAATAATGTTACAGTAATTAAGAACTGGAATTAGTTTAAAAGTAAGAAGAACTGGTATACATAGCTAACACAATGAAGCATCAGCAAAGTATTGAAATTATGAAGAATAAGAATCAGAGTGAAATGTATTGAGCATGGATGAAAAGAAGTGACATACTGTAGTGAATGAGATTGAGTGGCCTTTTGCTTTTACTTAAGGATTTTCCAAAACACTGATTGATTTGTATTTGAGAATAAATTGTAGTATTATTATGAGATGCAAATCCAATTTAAAAGCTTCATCAAATTAAAGACAGACTGAATTATATGTCAAAAGAATGTGAAATGGCACTTCATTTTGAAATAGAAACATGATTTCAACTCAGAAAAACCAATGGGGTACAAAGTAAACAAACTGGAGTGACATACCTAGATTCTCTCTAATGGTCTAATACATGTATGTTTAATTTGGGATGATTATTTTGATTCCTTCATTCCATAGCAACATTGATGTGAAGCCAGCAATTTTTTTCATGCCACGTACAGTATCTAATAATCTCTGCATTAGTCACATACCTCAGTATTTGTGTCAACGTTTTGAGTTTCTATCTTTAACTTTAAAATTTATCACACAGATGTAGTGTCAGAGGACAGTAATTGCACACGTAGTGATTTTCCTTCCCAGAGTATATTATTTACACACACATGTACTGAGTTTCCTTGTCTGTTTAAAATTATCACACACATGTAGTGAGTTTCCTTGCCAGAGTACATTATTTACACAGATGTAGTGAGTTTCCTTGCCAAAGTACATTATTTGCACACATGTAGTGAGTTTCCTTGCCAGGGTAAGTTATTTACACTCATGTAGTGAGTTTCCTTGCCAGAGTACATTATTTACACATATGTAGTGAGTTTCCTTGCCAGAGTATATTATTTACACACATGTAGTGAGTTTCCTTGTCTGTTTAAAATTATCACACACATGTAGTGAGTTTCCTTGCCAGAGTACATTATTTGCACACATGTAGTTAGTTTCCTTGCCAGAGTACATTATTTACACACATGTAGTGAGTTTCCTTGCCAGAGTATATTATTTACACACATGTAGTGAGTTTCCATTCCAGAGTACATTATTAACACACATGTAGTGAGTTTCCTTGCCAGAGTATATTATTTACACACATGTAGTGAGTTTCCTTGCCAGAGTGCATTATTTACACACATGTAGTGAGTTTCCCTGTCTGTATACATTTATCACACAGATGTTGTGAGTTTCCTTGCATTGGTTTATTTTCATTTTCGATCAATGTTTGGAATCAGCTTCTGTTTCAATGTTATCGATTATAATCAGACACCAGATTTCTACTTTACAAAGCATAATTTTGAAATTTTAAATTCAAAAGTAATGAGGATCTTTTATCAAGTATATTTTTAGAATCTACAATGTACACACCTAGCTTAATTAAAAATCAAAACAAAAAATGGGGGTTAATGTGCTTCTCTTGGCGGTATTGAGCATTTAGTTTGACTTTTTTGCACTGTAAATACGTCTTACACATAAATCAATTTTTAAAGTTTTTCCTCCAATATTTTTTTCAAATTAATTATGGGAACAAACGCAGTCTTATTTCACCTTGAATAGGTGTATTAAAATTTGTGACAACAAAAATTTTTCAAATTACTTCGCAAGTTCAATTATTTGACCTTTTTGCACTCAGAAAATATTTTTCTGGCATTAAAAAATTTAACAAGCAATAAAATATCTTGAAAGTAATGACATTTTACTGAATTTAAGAAGAATGGTTAAAAGTATTTTATATATTCAGAGAAGAAAATTAAAAGTGGGGGTCTGTGATGTTAATTTTTAGATATTACCAAAATAGTGCTAATTTTAAGCTTAATTTAAATTACGGCTATTTTTTCTGGATTTTCACAATATATTTGCTATACTTATCAAATATAATGATAGAATTCATGATATTTTTTATTTGATATATAATTTAGGACCAGCATAAAACAATTCATGGCTCAGAATAACTCTGTGTGTAGGCTGCATGGAAAAATAGGAATCCAAACTTAATATACTTTAATTACTTTGAAAGAGAAAGAAATGATCATTTTCTTCTAAAAAACCTTCCGCCACAAAATATACTGTACGTGTACATAAATTGGCGTATTCAAAATTTAGCGAAATCACTGGGTTTTGAGGTGTTGGCGACATCACGAATTAGCGCTATAAATGTCTGTACAGTATATTATATTTATAAATGATTTCTTAGTGGTATTCATGAATTAGCGCATTGTTGTCTGCGCCAAGGGCCCCCTAAAATATGAAGCCTGCTTTTTTAAGTACACATACAGTATTTCCTCACTTAATGCTTTTGGTATGGAGTTTTAACTGAATATATTTTAATTGGTATTGTAGAATCCAAATTTATTGTAAGAACTAAAACATTATGCAAAAGTGGAAATACAGGTTAAGACAAAAATCTGCTCAAAAGCTCAGGAGCATTTTACTTCTTCTGGAGAACCACTTGGCAATTTTAATTTGTTCAAATGAATGGTGACCAACTTTTCAAGGAGAAATAGCTATGAAACAGTGAAAATTTGATTCATATAAAAATCTCCTTTTTATAAACCATTGAAACTTATGTGGAAGTGTCCTGACATGGTATAGATTCAAGTTTGCATGTTCAAATCTGACTTAATGGGGTAGGTGGAACCAGTATGGAATCAATATTTTTTTTACATCAACATATAAAAAAATGTCATAATAAGATGCAGTCATAACATGGTAGTTTGTTCAATTGTCTTTTTGTAATTAAAAATAAATAAATGAAGTGCATCTACAGTGGGGTAGGATAGGGCTACAATTAGCGGTTGAAGTTTTTCATTGGAATGTATTTCACAACAGGACATTGATTAGTGATATTAATGTGCTAGCTGTTATCCTCAGAAAGTGCTGTATAATTTTTTTCCCAATCATGGTTCCTAGAGGTACCCGTAGAGTGGCACAACAATAGTGGATTAAAGTTTTTTGTGGGAATATAAAGGAAAAAATGTTTAAAATAAAAAAGAAATGGAACTTTTTTTTTAAATACAATGTATTTTGTGATAAAGAACAAACAGCAGCATTTTTTTTCTTCCATAACTGGTACCATTGAACAGAGCCATTCCACCAAAAATGTTAATTATTCCTAGTTTGAGAGCATTAATATTTTTGCATCAAATTTTGAATTCATCTATTTTTATGAGGAAAAAATTGTAAAATGCTAAGTTCAAAATCTTTGGGATTGGTATTTTGACTACTTTGTATGGACATTCTTTAAATAGTGCACTGTGCACAAAGGATGACTGCACTTAAGGACATGCGAAATTTGCGACAAAATAAACTTTTAAAACAAGCATTTTTCTTTTCATTGCAAGAATGGTCAACATCCAATCTACAACTTTATGTAATTACGTTTAATAAAAGTGTGTATTTACGAAGTTCGAATCTGTTTTCAAAGGCAGGGGTCATCACAATTTCATGAATCTCCATTCGATAATGAGGACGCCCACTTTTTTACTGACTTTATACATAGTCAGCGCATGTTTGTCTATTGTTCTACGTTTAACAGTAGTATATTTGCATAAATAATAATGTGTCAAAAGGAGATTGATAGACAAACATGTGCTCATGGTTAAAAGGAAAAAAAACTGCTTCTTCTTACATTCGCTCTCTGTGTTGTAACCAAGGATTGTGACATGCTGAATATTATAATTCACCATGTGATTTCTTACCTCAGGTAACTTTGTGAATACTAAATTCCGTCACGTGACTTGTAAGGTAGCATGTTTGTGCTAACTAGGACATTGTGTTCGAACACGTTAAGTCATCTGGCATTGATATAAAGTCTGCTTTAATTACATTGACGTGCTCATATTGTTAATTTCGTTTTGAAACCTTTATCAGAAGTGTATTTGTGCCATACAGAATGGAGAGGGAGATTGGAAGGAGTGATCACGTTCTTTTTTCCAAACATGTCATTGTTATTTTGTTATTTATCAAGTCTAATTTTAGACCCATTCTTACAATGTTAACTCCACCTCTCATGCATACCTAATGTTCAATCAAGGGCAGATAAGTGTAAATTCACTATATTTGGAAAGCAGTAAGGACAAAAAACATTGAATCATTTTATTGTATCACAGTCTAAAATCATTTTAAGATTTAAATTTGGTTCCAAATTGACAGGATTCTCTCAAAAACATACAAAAGTGAAATAAGGTTTAGATATAAAAGCAACAGAAGCAACCGAAAAAGACCCAAATATAGGCATTAAGTGCAGTCATCCTTTGGTTGAGAATGCACATTTAGTTAAGTATTTTAGTATATCCCTATTTGTTCAACCTATATATACTGTCCTGTCTGTCCACTTTATTTTGCAAGTCATCTTAATATTTAAGTGGTAGCCAAAGAAATTCATTTTCAGGTGATTGATTAGTTTTTGTAGATGTGTATGAATTTTGATCTCTCCCCTGAAGCTAAGCTGAAGTGAAGTGATAATTCTGTTGAACATGAATTGTTAGATATCAAATGAATTCCAAACTTTAAGACTTCGTTTCAATACGAAGGGATATGTTAAGATTCGAGCATTGATTGGTGTATACAATTAAAAGAATGTCTTTGTGCTTGCATGATGAACTGGGTTGAAAAATTTTGAAAATATTAAATGTTTCCCTCAGCTTGTTGTGATCTGTTGAACATGAATTGTTAGATATCAAATGAATTCCAAACTTTAAGACTTCGTTTCAATACGAAGGGATATGTTAAGATTCGAGCATTGATTGGTGTATACAATTAAAAGAATGTCTTTGTGCTTGCATGATGAACTGGGTTGAAAAATTTTGAAAATATTAAATGTTTCCCTCAGCTTGTTGTGATCCTCCTGGACATCCAAGTGTTTTCGACATTGATGAAGATTTTGTCACTCTGTCTCTGTTGGACCAAACCAAGAAATGATGGTTTTAAGAAGATTATAGGATATGTCATAGAATAGGAAGACCCCACCACTGGAGGCAGGCTAATGACTACCCAGTAGATGAGTGTGTTTATGAGGGTGAGTAACTGATTACTTGTTGACACATGTATCTTTCTTATGAACTAGTAAGTGGATTTACATGTCCTTTTGTTGCATGTAATTAGTATATTATGGCTGAAAACTGTGAAAAGATGTTTTACGAAAGTGATTCTTGAAATTTGTTTTGTTTACAAAACTTAAATTTGAGAATTTTTTCATCAGTGTAGGGATTAAAAAAGGACAAGGAATACAACTTCCACATACGGGCCAAGAATCTTGAAGGTTTTAGTGAGTCTAGTGATGTGATTGGTCCCATAACCCCCATTTCAAATACAGTAAGTATATTTGAAAAAAATTATAACATTTTAAAAAACAATTACCATATTGTACTTTAATTTCAATTATTTTTTCTTTCACATTTTTAAACTTTTATTTTAGCCAAGGTTTTGCCACCTGGTGTACCAGAGGCTGTCAACAATTCTATAACTTATCTGAAATGGGAACCACCTAAGCATAATGGTGGCTGTAAAATTACAGGTACTAATTTAAAAGTAGAATAAAAAAAGGGAAATGTTGATCTCTGTTCAAAACACATAAACACTGTAGCAGTTGATAATATTGATTATCTTTGTAGACTACCTTGTGGAAGAGAGGTTTAAGGGAGCAGAGATGTGGTTTAAGTGTAATGAGTACCCCTGCACTGACCTCTCTTTACTGTCACCGATCTTCCTCAGGACTCAGAGTGGGAGTTAAGAGTTACAGCTGTTAACTTTGCTGGAAACTGTGAGCCCAGTCTGTGCTCACCAGCATACAAAATCCAGGAGAAGATTGGTATGTTGTCAAGTTAATAAATGTATAGTACATTATTATGGTACTAGAAAAAAGATTTGGAGGTCAAATTAAACCATAATGTGTATTTTCTTCTCAAAGCCCATAATATTCTCACTTTACTGGTCAGGAGCTGAAATTTATGTGAAAGCTTCCTGATGTAATAAAGATTTTAAATTATTCAAAAAATGGCCTTTGGGGTAGATGGGGCCACAATAGGGGATCAAAGATTTACCTTGAAATATATACATACATTTATGTACTGGTTAAAATCTTTATGAATCCTCTTAAGAACAACTGGACCACAAAAAGTATTTTTAAACCTTCTTGTAGCTTCCTTATTGTTCAAATCATGGCCAAAGGGAGGAAGGAAGCCCGGGGGGGGGGGGGGGGGGGGGGGGATTCAGAGACCCTTTAGAGTTAGGATAGGGTCATAATATGAGTTCACAATTTTGCATGGGAAAATTAAGGAGAAAAACTCTTTATAAACATTAAGAAAAGCTTCTTTTAAGTTACATGGGAAATGTTGTATCCCATGGGACTCTTCTTTGCATGCACATAGTAAAGGCAAAAAAAAAAATAGATAACCCCTATTGTATTCATAAATTTGAATCTTACTTTTTAAGAAAAGTGTTATTTTCCAATTTAATATCTAATTTGAATGTTTTGACAGAGTCTTTTGCAATTGAGCAGGATGAGGAATCACACCAATCATTTGTAAATGAAAGCAGCAGTCATGATGTTGTCAATGAGAATGGTAATCTATATTTATGATGTTGTTTGGATGTTACAAATTAAAAGTTAACCCAATAAAAATGAATAGTCTTAAAATGATAATTTCTTTTTTAGAATTTTAAATAGGATATGATACAGGGGCACTTTTAAGTGATGAAGCAGACGAGTATGATGATGGTAATGATGATGAATCATACCATCCTTCAAGCGATGAAAAAAGCTGTGATGAAGATACCATTAATGATCTTGGTAATAAAGCTGAAAACAGAACTTTCTTAAGCTCAAGTAAGCTTTTCTGATCAAAGTTTGTCCATTGTCCATCTCCAGCGTCATTGTTGTTTCAAATTTTCAGCTCCTTCTCAAGAACCACTGCGTCAATTTCAACCAAACTTGCCACAAAGTATTCTTGGGTGGGGGATTCAAGTTTGTTCACATGAAAGGCATCACCCTATTTTAAGGGGATATAATCAAAAATAAGTGTAAATTTGATGGCATCTTTAAAAAAATCTGTTGTTTACTTGTACAAATTTTTAGTATTTCCCATGAATCTTCGAGTAAAAATGTGCTCTACAGATTCACGTTGAAAATATACAGATTTTCCCTAAAGACGGAAAAAAATCGGAGTCGTTCCCGAAATTTGTCAATCAGTTTGATAAAGAAGCTTGTTGATTGAAGTGGTCTTATCAAAAATGATCTAAAAACAATATAATTACGGCAAATGTAAAATATGTAAGCAACAGTAGACAGCATACGGTGACATGCGTAGTTAGTGCTTAGCATTTGTATAACAAGGGGTTCTTCATATAAAAATGTCTAATAAGCTGGGTTGCATTTTTACTGACAAACTGCTCAAAATACTGACAACTTCTAGAATACTGACATCAATTAGAAAAGTTAAACAGGTCTGAGTGGGCCAGAAAAATTTTTCTCCAGAACAGCAAAGCCATGACAAGTCATATTAATACAGAAGCATACTCAGGTAATGTAGCTTGAAGTTTTATCAACTAATGACCCCTGGCAGAAGGGTGGGGACACAATGGGGCATAAGACTTTTACATGGAATTATATAGAAAATGTCTTTAAAGGCCTTCTTCTCAAGAACAGCAAAGCCATGATTTGTTATATTAATACAGGAGTATTTTTCAGGTAGTGTACATTCAAATTTATTCAAATCATAACATCAAGGGGTAGGATGGGAGAAGTAGTTTCAGGTTTGTTCAAATCATCACCCACAGGGCATAGGGTGGCACCAATTGTATAATTGCTCAAACTTTTCAATACTGAACTGATTTCTGCTTTTCTCTTGCAAAAGGGCTCAGGTGTCATGGACCATGGGCCTCTTGTATAAGGTGTTATGTATTACATTGTACAATATGTAGATTGTTTAAAGTGAATTAAAATTATGTCAGAATTTCTGTCTTGAATTTTAAGTATGACTGTTTCTTTATTACAGTTAAGGATTAATTCCATAAGTTGTTTTTTCTCCAGACATGATCACAGTCTGATAAATTGACAAAATTCATTTTAAATAAATTACTTTCCTTTGCATCACATTAACATGATGTTCATTAGCCAGCATTATAAATTATAAATATCTCCATAAGGAGCTTAAATAGAGTGTTTCAATCATGCCTAACAGATTGAAGTATGGAAAAACAACTTTCATACCTCTTCATTAGGTTTGAATGGGTAAGATGAGACCATAATAGGCAATCAAAGCTTTGCATAGGAATATATAGGGGGGAAATGTGCAGGGCCATTGTGACTTGGGTGAGCCATGTGGCCCATTGGCCTCCTCTATAAAAATAAAAATGAATCCCTTTTGTCAATACATGTACATATATAATAATTTCAGATATGCCCAGTAAGCCTCTCAAATCTGAAATGCAGCAGAAACAAGCTGCACTTGCAAGTGACAGTGAAAAGGACAGTGAATGTGAAGATGATCATGATGATGTCAGCAAAGTTTTACCACAGTCAGAGAAGCGAAAGACCAGTTTTTTAGAGGCCAAAAACATCGTCTGGGAACTATGATAATAAAAAACATTCATGTCTCTTTTGTGAGAAGTTTTGCCAGCAGGCCAATTGATGGTATGCATATCATATAAGCCCATAGCTCTTTAAGTACAAAAAATTGTGAGATTCGTTTTTGCATATACAGTCCCTGAAACGTTCTACTTTCCCATTTTTCCGTTCGCTCACCGTTCGTTCACCGTTCGTTCAGCGTGCGTTCACCGTTCGTTCACCGTGCGTTCACCGTTCGCTCTCCGTTCACAGTTTTGCGTTCACCGTTCACCGTGCGCTCGCGTTCACCGTTCACAAAGCGTTCAGCGTTCGCTCTTCGTTCCGTTCACTTTGCGTTCACCTTGCGTTCAGCGTTCACCTATTGTTCAGTTTTGATTGTCATTCGGAACTCCGAAGTGAAAGGACTTAACTTTTTGTAGGTAAGGAGTTACAGTTTTTTTTTTTTTTTTAATTTAATAACTAACATATCGTGTTTGAAGAATCATTATTTCATGGGGGAAATATCTACGATATATATATTTATTATTCTAACTTAGCTGTTAGGTTATTTATTAAATTACTCTGGAAAATAAATGTTGTTATAAGCACACTCTGTACCTATGTAGACCGATGCTGAAATATTAAATTTAACTAAGGGCAATGTGCAAATACTTCAAGCACTGCAACAATTTGTTGTTTTGTTTAATTAAATGTTTGTGATATAATTATCCAAGTAAAATAATTACGCAGCAAAATTACGAATATATTTATTTCTAACACGTTTTTTTTTTAATTACTATAGAAAATATGATAGAACTAGTTCTGAGAGTTATACATAGTACTGCGGATATCCTGTTTATTTATTATCTTTGGAGCGAATGAAATTGATAGTGTGGTTAAAGGAAATATTTATTTAAAATGTAATGCACAACAGAATTTTCTCTACTATAATATGTTAAGTTTATAGTTATAGAGAAAAAAATTCTTTCTTCACCGTAACCGTTCGATATGATTAATACCCCCCCCCCCCCTTTCCCCCTAAATCGGTTACTTAGACAGTACTGTATTTCCAGAATATTTTAATTAACATTAAAAAAAAGTTAAGGTCTTTTTTAGAACAAAAATTTCAGTCTCAAAACAAACATGCATCTAAAAAAGTCACAAAACAATAGTAGTTCAAAATGTACACGTGTCGGCGGTGGTATTTGAAATTGGCAGAGAGTATGTTTCAAATTCAAGTGTTAATGCCCAATGTATTTTATTCATTTATTATTTAAATGTTGGAATCAAATCTAGAAATGATAAAAATAAATGTTATAACTTGTTGGAAATACTCGCACTTCGCCTTCGATGTGACGAAACTTTCACACCTGCACAGTGTCGAATGATTTTGATTGACAGGACAAGCACGTGAACTTCGTGTGAACTTGAAGCAGGAAAATAAAAACGAGTATGAATGTCATACATACGGATATGATTTGTTGATTAAAAAAAAGTTACTTTCACTGTCTGATATATTTAGAAAAAAAAATCAAAGTTTTTGTTTGATATAGGTACAAACATTTAGTGAAGCCTGAAAGGAGGGGGGGGGGGCTAAAACAGAATCTCTCTCTCTCTCTCTCTCATTTGTCTGTTTAATAAACACTATAACAGCATATTACTTAAATATCAAGTTCTGAAAATTGAATATATAACAAATAATATGAATATGCATCTTTGTATTATCTTGTCCGAGTATAATCACGGCCATCTACAGATACATGTAGAAGTCTGCTCAATAAATCATCATGAAAAATAGAAATGACACTATATATTATTGTATTAAACATTTAAAATACGAGCGTATAAATGCAAAACGTCCACTGACCTTTGTAATTTTTTTTTTTTTTCATTACTTTACACGAAATCGCCTTGACACGGAGATATATGAATGGATGTTACAACCGTTTTAATTCATTCTGTAAGTCAGAAGTTTTCTCTGATTTGTTATCAAATAAGAATAAACATTTTTATTTTCCAACTAAAAAAAAAAACATCTTTTATACTTCAGCGTTCGGCAACAATTGCAATGTTTTAATGCGATAAAAATCGTGTGATTAAAAACTTAATGTGCATGCATCGTCTTTCTTAGGACAATTTTGGAGAATTTATTTTATTGACTTATTTATTCATTCATTTATTGGTTTACTTATTTATTATTTATTTATTTATTTATTTATTTATTTTTTTTTGGCACCTAACATTATAATACAATAAAATAGTTTCAATGCAAGGAAAAGATCAGAGGCATTCCGAATATATCGTTCACCTTGCGTTCACCGTTCGTTCACCGTTCACTTTGCGTTCGCGTTTGCGCTCCGTTCGCGTTCTGCGTTCGCTCACCGTTCACCGTTCACACATCGTTCACCAAGTTGCGTTCAGCGTTCACACATCGTTTACTCACCGTTCGCTCTGCGTTCGTTCAGCGTTCGTTCACCGTTCGTTCAGCGTTCGCTCACCGTTCAAGTGGGAAAGTAGAACGTTTCAGGGACTGTAGGTTCAGGATGGAGCTGAATATTGAAAAAATATATCCTATAAATTTTTTTTCATGGACATGTAGCAGACAGCTGTTTGCATAATTTAAGCAAGTAATTATTTTTTAACCAAAATTTGTGAAATTTATCACTCATGACCCATTGTTCATGCAAGGTTTACCTATTTATTATTTATATTGACACTGCAACAGGCCCATAGAACCCCCCCCCCCCCCCCACCTCCCACTTTTTCTGAGTATAGTATTTTGCTATAGTAAAGTATCCTTTATATCCTGGTTGCCCCCCCCCCCCCCCTTTTTGTTGCAATAAGGTCGGTTCAGTAAATAATGTTTTTTTTTTTTTGCTTGTCAGATATTTTTTGAAGTCCCCCTACTTTTGAAACCCTTGCTATGGGCTGTAAATTGAAGTTTTAAAAAATACTTTACTGGTGAACATCTAGCAGGCAAACTAGCAGGCATAAAATTAAATATGAAGATTATGAATATTAATCAAACTCAAAAGTCCATTAGAATAACCCATATTCGTAGCAGAGCAAACATGGACCTCTAAAATTAATCTTAATTAATGCTTAGCCCTCTAATTGAAGGCTTCTTAATGTTTCAGGCCCATGAAAAGGCAGAGTTAGTCATAAATTAAAATGTTTTATACAGTATTAGCCAGTATACCTTATCCTCTTTACTTTTGAACTTCTAGGAGTTCAGCTGCATCAATATGATAATAAATATAGAATTCTTGTGAAAATTTACGATTTTTGTTACATGGGTCTAGATTTCTAGATCCAGGCGGTTTTGAAATGACCACAGCCTGAGAAATTCATAATACTCAGGTAATAGTCAAAGCCTAGGGCCTTTTGTTGCATTTTAAACACAGGAAGTTATTAACTGCATAATATTTATATTTCTTGCTTGGTTGTCAGCTTTAAGCTTAAAGAGTTTTTTTTTTAATTTTGAAACTTGTATGTTGTTTAATGCACTAAGAAAATGCCACTATATTTTGCACAAATACTGACTGATTGTCCTTGATTGTTCTTCTGTGAAAATAAACTTATTTTGGATACCTTAAAAATTAACAGCAAGAAATACCTATTTACACTTGGCTTATACATGTGTATCTTATTTCATGTCAGCATTCTTTTTATGTACTTTTTTGGTATAGTTGATGCAATTAAATTGTTTCATGCAAACAAACCGTCTTTTTTGTTTGATCTTTCAAAATGTTGTAAAACATTTGAGCAAAGGGATAAGAGAACTAAAGGGTGCTGTATGAACTGCATTTCGTAAAAAATCATGGTTTTAGAGAACAACATATTTGAGCAATGGGATTTTTAAATGCTGAATTGGAAAATGAAATGATGAATATGAAATGATAGAATGTTATGCATAAGAAAAACAATGAAGTGGACTTTCCCCACCAAAGTAATTTCAGTTTTTTGAAGTCATTAAATTGCAAGAATAAATAAGAGGGATCATTATTTTCCCCCTTATTTCAGGTCCGTAGAACGCGGAGGCCACCCCCCCCCCCCCACTTTTTCTGAATATACTATATTACTATTGTAAAATTTCCTTTGAATGCTGGTTGTGGTGTCATCCACATAAAAAAGAACGAGATGTTATTACATGAACAGTAGTTAAGTAATTTGTAATCCTATAAAATTCTTGTTAAGAAAAAAATAAACTCTTTAAGATCATAAAAAACATAATGATTGCATTTAAAATTGGGTAACGATTTTCAATTTCTACTTGTCTTACTCAATGCAACAGGAAAAAAACCCCAAAACGAATATTCTTGACGAAACAAGTCTTGAATTAACGCACACTCGGCAATTCATTGCCGTCAGCGACGTAAAAGCAGAGGGGAGGGGTAGCTTGGCCTCTCCTTTTTTCAAACTTAAAAGTTTTATTTTTAATTTACTGTGAGTGTTCATTAAAAGCCCCCCCCCCCCCCCCCCCACATACACACACTGTTTTGTTATGTATCTAAATGCGGTCATTTTATTGTAAAGAAATTTTTTGGAGGGTTCACAAAAGTTCAACCCAGCAATAGGATTTTCGACTTTTTGAAGTTAACCTATTTTTCTTGCTTGCCAAAGATTTTCGGGTATTAAGTTGTATTTTCTGCCCCCCCCCCCCCCCCCGACTTTCAAAAACGATGTTACGTGCCTGGCCGTTAATACTTTTAAATCTTTGTCATGACTGTTAATTTATTCTTCTCATTTCATTTGCTTTATATTAATCTATATACAGATACTGAAAGCCAATTTTTTATCTTTTAACTTTGTCGGATATCCTTTGACAATTTTCTTTTCTATAGCATACAGATTTCAAGCAGACATTGTCATGTATTTTCTGTCATGTATTTTTTGGAAAAATTGGTGTTTTTACGGGAAACACATTCAAAATTTACTGAATGTAGTGATTTTCTTGTATAATATCTTACAAGAGTGTTTATGTACTGAGTTTCCTGTGTGTGTCCTGGTAACGCCATGTAGTGACTTGTCAACTTCCGGTGTGTGATTGAGCAAATTCACGTGACCAAATGTAGTGACTTTTAGGTGAAAAATCATTTTTTCATTATTTGAATTTTCATCTTTCTGAACCTCATTTGCATAT